AAAGGACGGGGATCAAATCTAGATCAAGGCATCACAAGATGTCGATTAAAATTACATTTAATTGTTTTTTTTTTATCAGGGAAGCAACTAAGAGGAAAGGAGTTCCAATGTTGGGACGTGCGAGAGAAGATGTTGAAGTAGAAAATACGGTTACATTTAATTGGTTCGACAGTAAATATATGAGACCGAGATGCTTAAATTCATGCACCTGGGCTACCAGTGAAAATAGCTCGGCAGAGCAGTTGCCATGAAAATATTTATAGACAGAGTGAAGCCACTTCACGTCTGTGAGAAACTGACTGGTGTCCAGAGGGAAGCCATATAACGCTGTGGGATACTGACTGTAGTCGAGATGCTAGGTCAGGACCTATCAGATTGCATATCCTTCTTTGGATTTTGTCGAGAGCCTCAAGATGAACGGGACACCTGACCATATATGGAAGCAGTATACAATGCAGGGTTGAATGCTAGATTTGTAGCTGCGATGGATTCGGACGAGAAAAATCTTCTGGCGCGACACAGGAATCCAACTTTGTTTGAATTACCCAGATTTTTCGTTTTTCCACCATTTCAAGCGAGGTGATATAGCCACTAAGGCGCAAGAGGTTACAGTGTAAATGAATATAAGATAAAAACATTATTAACGAAAGAGATCAATATAAAAACAGGATTCAAGAAGACGGATGACAATTGATATTGCAATAACAAATCGATGTTGACGGAAAACAAGAATCCGGAAAAGAGTCCCATAAGCTATAAGTGTAACAGAATAAACATTTAGATTAGAAATTATAGTTACATTTAATAATTTCAACTATAAAAGACCTATCTGCCAATCTAGTACTACGCGAAGTCAAGCTACCCACAAGGAAAGCTCATGAGAACAATTATCATGAAGATATTTATAGAAAATGCAAAGGGAAGCTACGTTAGATGGGAAAATGAGTGAAAACGAGATGACGGATCAGGGCCGAAAATATTGCAGATTTTCTTTGGATTATGTCAAGAATATCTAAATACATAGTAGAGGCAGATGTAACATAAATATTAAAGGTATATTTACAAAGGTGTAAGGTGAATTCTGGCGCGAAATCTTTCTACACGTGTTCTTGGTGAATACAATGTCGTGGATTTCCATTGTATTCGTTACGGTTTTGAATTCAGAGTAGCATGTTATAAATCGGTTGCCAAACAAAGCTAGAGAGTCTATTCTACCCTACTATTTTACCCAGAACGATCGGGTGGCGATAAAACAGTGTCATGCCATCACATAGGCATTTATGCGAAAATGGATGCAGAAGACTAGACCGGAATTGGAACCCGGCTCGTCAATTCCACTTTTAAATTTTGCTAATCATTTCACCCCAAGCAAAGGTATAAAAACGCCAAGGATTACTGATGATGAAAGACATTAAAATAATGGAACCTGAGAATATGTTATTGCCGATAAAGGAAAAGATGAAAGAACAGGATTCAAGGAGACAGGCTGTGTGATGTATTATTTTTTTCTTCATTTTAAGAAAAGCAAGAAGCCGGAAGGGAGGCAAAACTAGCGAGTGAAGAAACTACCTGAATAGAACAGACGGTTCCATTTGCTGCCTCAATATCCGCAAAACATGTCATACTCCATAATTCCCTTATCTCCCACGAATGTTCCTGATATATTTTTGATTTTTCACGTTCTTTGTTTTAGTTTCAATCGTAGAAATAAAATATAATTGTTGCATTTCGTCTTTTGGTTCCCAAACTACAAAATAAAACGGTATCAACGTAAAGGATTATTTATTTTTGTTATTAAGAGTGACAGCTTGGATGCAGTAGCAGGAATGACATCACAGGAATGCATGTTGCACGTTGGCTCAGCGTCCTTCCGTGGGTGGTATTAGCTATGGAAAACCTGCGTGTGGGAGGAAAATCGACGCTTCAGACTTCTTGAGACCCTATGTTGAATTCACACTGTTTTGGACTTATATCCTAAACCCAAAAATACGCAATATACCCAATATAAAGTGTTTGAGTCGAAGAGAAAGAGAAAAATATGCAGATAAACATAAACTTGGCTTGAAAAGGTCAAGATTAATGTATTTCCGTGAAATCAACTCGTGTAAGTCTGTTGTCATTTCATGGGAAAACTATGTACAACTTTGCTTTTTCTCATTTCGAATACGGAAGAAATGAAGCTGATTCGACTCTGTGGATGTAACGTGGTGTGCCGTAGTTGTATATGTCTTAATCGGTGAGACTAAAAATGAGAAACCATCTGGCCATTTACCATGGAAATCGCAATAGCGCGGCGATTGTGTTTCAAAGATGCTTTAATTTCCGGTTTCATCATATTTTTTCATAGGTTCTTCGGGACTGTTCCCAGTGCTCCGATAATGCTTGGCCCTACTGTCATGTCACAACTTCCTCAGGTCTCTGAAAAAAATGGTTACAGTGTGAAGAATAAGTTTTCCTCCACGAGATCGCTGGAACGATTTTGAAATCTATCAAATCTAGAAATTGGGGATTGAGCAGCCCCAAACTAAATATGTTAGCAAGGACCTGCTTTTGGTCTAATCGGATTAATTTTGCATTAATCCCGATATCCTACCGGGCACTATTCTCGGTCCTAATATATTTCTTATAATAATCAACGGTTTTCCATATGTCATAATTTCTTGTCTTGCTATGCCGGATGTAAAAACAAAATTGGCCAAATTGGGCAACAGCAAAATTATTCAATTGTTAGATTAAGCTTTGAACTGTTATATCTTAAAGAAATCTCATTAGAATTCTTCGAGATTTTTATAAAGCGTTGAACAATAAAAATATATTTAGCTCTAAGTTGAAATAATGATCCATCTTCCTGTTGTGAACTCCTGATCAATTTGCCTCCCTAGTCTTTCCTCTTTTCAAAACTTATTCACCGTTCTCTTGTTGGTTCTGGAATGGACTTTGTAGATGGAATCCAGTGTATGACTGTTGGTAATATTACTGAAAGCCTGAATGATCTTTTTCCTCTCACCATTGCTCATTTGCGAAGACATAGTGGGGCTGAAACAAAACAATGTTAACTTGTTCTCTTTCTAACTGAAGTATTCTTTGTTTGACCATGATTCAAAATGTCTTAGCAGAAAACCAGGAAGAGAGAAATTCAATTAGATTAGTGGTATCTTAGATATTAAACAATTTGCAGGATGGACAATTATGCTGTTACACGATCTAGACATTTTTGTTGTTACACCCGGTATATTTATAAATGACCCGAGAATGTTCTAAGGTAAATCGTTAATATTAATCAGAGAAAAGTTAGGGCCAAAGTGAGAGCGTTGGAGGAATCCGATATTGGATCCCATAGGCATCTTTATGGATCTAGTGTGAATTGATTTACTATCAAGGTGCTCACGTCTTAGGGGAGATTTCATATCAGTCAATATTTGGTCAACTTATGAGGACGGACTTGAAAACTTCATAGGCTATATATGATAGAGTGATGCTAGTGTTTCGAAATCTTGCATGCATTACTTTCAACTCTTCTGGTGAATACCTACATTGTTTTCTTTCGGATACACTGCTATCTGACTGTTCAAATAAGAATTAAAATCTGGCATCTAGGGAATTCTCTTGACATTGGTTAAAATTTTGGCATCGCGAGGTTTTCATGTACCCGAATGAAAAAAAGTTTAGAGAGAGATTTCTTTCTAACATCTTTTTCTACGTTAGGGAATAAGGCACGAGAAGTGTTCAAAAGTGGGCAGCTGAATTTAGGAGGGAAAGAGAGAGCCTTGAAGATGACCCAATGGTTGTACGTCCTGCACCAGTCACCACAAAGGAAAACATTGATCGTGTTCCTCACATGCTGATGAGTGACAGGCGATCGACTATAAATTAAAAGGCCAATTCTATTGGTTTATCCTTGAAGGAGTTGAGCATATTCTGCGCAATGAGTGTTTCTATTCGGTGAGTACCACGTCTTCTGATGCCTGATCCCTGCGCGCCAGACTGCTCACATCACGAGAAAACATGACATTGTTTGACGAAGACCCAACTGGATTCCTTGAAACTTTTCTAACCCAAAATGAGCATTGGGTTCATCAATTTAAGCCAGTGACACAGGGACAATCTATGCTGTAGAAAAAAAAACACTCCTCATGTGCTCGAACGAGGGCCAACGTCGTTTCATTTTTTGGAATACAAAATGCAATCATTTTACTGACTCTCTTCCAAAGGACGACGCTATCAATGGAGAGTACAATTCAAAATTGCCGAGGCAGATACGAAAGGCCATGAAGATCAAACGCCCAGGGAAAAAAGGTTAAAGTGAACGTATTTCATCAGAAAAAATGCTCCACCACACAACTCCTTGTTTTCAATGGCTGCTGTGTGTAACAGTGACGTTGAACTTGATCATCCTCCGTATTTGCTTGATTTGACGATCATCTGTTCCCCAGCATAAAAAACAGCAGGCTGAGAAACAGTAGCGCAGTGATGATGACGTCATATCTGCTGTTAATGTTTTCTTTTTTTACCAACAGCATTAACATCCTTCTTTGAAAAGTCAGATGTCTGTTTACGTGGAAAATAATAATGTAGTTATTAATAAGAGTTGAATTTAATGCATGCAAGATTTTACAAACTGTAGCCTCATCAGTCTATCGTCAGCCTCTGAACGAATGTGTCTGTCTTCGTAATGTGAATTTACCTTATCTCTCCATGAACTTAAGGAAATAAATTTTCAGCATTGTCAGACAATGGGACATATCACACAATCGGCGTTTTACTTCACTAGACCAAGTTTCTGTTGGAAGGTGACCAATTTGTTTGTCTTGAAAAATGGTAAGGCGTACAATGCTGTAAACGTTGCAAGTTTATCAACTAAAATAAGAATATTGGTTCGAATCGCAAAACATTGAGATGTCCGGACAATAGCAAAACCTACTTATTCAAATTTATTTTTCTGATACCAACTATACTATTGCCCCGCCACCTCAATCAAAGACCTTTAATTTACACTTAGACCCATACCACGTTGAAGTACCGGTTCTCGTATGATCACCAAAGTTAAGCATCATCGAGGCTGGTTATATCTAAATGGGTAACCACTTGGGAATTACAGCAGCTGGAATGTGCGGGTAGTCTGATGTGTAACGGCTCAAAATGAGAGTGCAGAGTTCGAGTTCCAGTCGGGTTATTTATATTCACTTACTCGCAAATACCCTAGGGAATGTATGAATTCATCTCTGCTCACCCACCTATGGATTAATTAGTAAGACTTGTATCACTTAATCATTATTATCTAAAAAAAGAAGAAACAAAACTTACAATCTAAAAATAATTTCTAGTTGTAAATAAGCCGTAAAGGATTGATAAGCCGTAGAATGCCGCTATATACCATCAATACATTTTTGGAAAAAATATTACCAGCAATATATTTTTAAAAATATTAGAGAAATACTTTTTCAAAATATAACCAGCAAATACATTTTAAAAATATTAGAGAAATAAATTTTAAAAATATTACCAGCAATACATTTTGAAAAATATTAGAGAAATACATTTTAAAAATATTACCAGCAATACATATTTAAAAATATTAGAGAAATACATTTTAAAAATACGTATAAAAAAATATTACCAGCAATACATTTAAAAATATTACGAACAATACATTTACAAAAAATATTACGAGCAATACATTTGAAAAAAAAAATATTACCACCAATACATTTGAAAGCAAAATATTACCAGCAATTCATTTAAAAAATATTACCAACAATTTATTTTTAAAAAATATTACCAGCAATACATTTATAAAATATTACCAGCAATACATTAATATAAAAAAATATTACCAGCAATAGATATAAAAGCAATATGACTAGCTAAATATTTTAAAAATATTTACCAGCAATACATTTAAAATATTACGAGCAATAAATATTTGAAAAAAAATATTACAAGTAATACATTTAAAAAAATATTACCAGCAATACATTTAAAAAACGAAATATTACCAGCAATACATTTAAAAGCAAATAACCCAGCAATACATTTTTGAAAAAATATTAGCAGAAATACGTTTTGGAAAAAAATATTACCAGCAATATATTTTTGAAAAAATATTTACAGAAATACGTTTTGGAAAAAAGATATTACCAGCAATACATTTTTGAAAAAATATTAGCAAAAATACGTTTTGGAAAAAGAAAATATTACCAGCAATGAAAATCTTGTCGGTATTACATAACACATTGATGTTGATATGCCATAAAACAAACCAACCAAATACTTCCTATTTGCTTGATTTGACTATCCACTGTCTCCCAACGTAAAAAAAAAAACACTTGGCATATGTGTCATGGATGTATTTTTATTACCAAAAGCATGAACAATCAGATGTCACTTTACCTGGAAAATAATGCAGTTAGTAATAAAAGTTGAATTTAATGCAGACTATATTTCATATCTCTTGCATCGCTCTTTCATCGTCAGCCTATAAGCATCTCAACCAACCTTTATAGTGTAAATTATCCATTACCCCGCTCCCAATTAATTTAAATATACGGGTCAGCTGGTAAGTTCATAGGGATAAATATAAGTAGAGACAGTATTTAGCAGACTAAAAGACATATAAGTGTTCGGCTAGAAGTTGCATTCTGGTATATTTGCGTTTTTCAGTCAACCAACTGGTATGACGACTAACATTTATATTTTGATCTTTCTATGAACGTTTCAGCCGACCTTCGTCAAGAACCGATAACTTGGTTAAGGATCTTGCGTAAATGGATTGCAGAACAGAACTGGGATTCGTTAATTGTTCACTATTTTACTGCGTATCAAGGTTTTGTATGTCATGTCGAAGCGAAATATTTTTAATTATAAAATAATTATTGTTTTTCGTTGTTTTCCCTCTCCCAAACAAGACGATAATCTTACTGGACGCGACGGATTACCTGGAGTGAAAATAAGTGAAAAGACTTTACGCAGGATTGCTGAGGAGAAAGAACAACATAAAAACAGGACCCAGGAAAACAGAATATGCCGATTAGCGTTTAGTTTTTTTTTTGTTTTTTTTAAATAATTTCATCCCAAACAAGAGGGGAATACCACTAGTACGCAGGGAGTTACAGGGCGTAAAAGAGAGAGAGAGAGAGAGAGAGAGAGAGAGAGAGAGAGAGAGAGAGAGAGAGATATAGGAAGGATTGCGGAAAGGTTAAAAGATGAAAGGGGTTCAAGAAGATAGAAGATGGCGATTGATATTGTTGTGGATTCCGGGTTGAAATCTCGTACCAATAAATAACAAACGCCAGGAATGAATATATGGAAATAATGTATTAACGTAATAATACAAACTGGTAAAGCAGGTTAGTAGTTCCAGGAATACGGGTTAGTAGCAAAATATATATACAGTCTTTTGTATTGAAGTATCGCTGTATGACTTCTTACTGAGTCTACGTGCTCGTTCACTGTGACTCCTACAACACTGTTACCTCACCCTCACTCTTCCGGTTACATACAACCTTTTACTCTCCCACTCTGGACTCGACTCGAATCGACTCCTCGGTCTTGCTCTCTCGGGTCTTCACGTAGCCGTAGTATATGTATATACTGGGTGAGTCCATTTGTATAAAAAGGGGTGGACCCCTCAACAGATTTTTGATGGTCGTAGTTATCAGAGAAGCAAGTAAACGGCAGAGATTGCGAGAAAAGATACTGCGTGAAATGATACTCTTAGAGTAGAAGTGCCGATTATATTTGACTATTTCAACTTGAAATGGATGGGATCTAGATGCCAATCGAGTAGCACGCTTAAATGCATGTAGTCGGGGCAGCAGGCAAAAAAGCTCGTCAGAGCAATTGACATGCAAATATTTGTAGAAAAGACAGAGGGAAGCCAGGTCATGTCTGTGAGAAAGTGACTGAAGTCAAGATGCCAAGTCAGGATCAATTACATTTCAAATCTTTGTTTGGAACCTCGAGATGAATTGCAGTGGCACCACAGATGGCATGGCAACAGTATCCCATGCAGGAATGAATGGTAGATTTGTAAATGTGCAAGATGGACCCTGATGAGAAAAGATGTAGTTCGTTGGAAAGCAAGAAATCAGAAAATAATTTCACAAGCGAGAAATGCCAGAAAAGAACATATTTGAATAAAACTTATGGTTGCATCTAACTAGTAGTAATCTAGTAGCCGGCGTATATTCCTGCAGTCGTAGTGCCAAGTATGAAATGTAATTACAACAATTTCCATAAAGACATTTGTAGATAAGCTACGTTAAGCCAGTGGAACACGATTCTCCAATTCCTCCACACCACCGAAGCATCCAAATTTACAACACCCAGTCTCATCAGAAAATTTTCCATGTAAATATATGTAGAAAAGGCAGAGATAAGCCACGTCACAACGTTTAGTGTGTGACTAACGTCCAGATACCAGATTAGGATTATATTGCGAACACTTCTAAAAATTTAAGTGTTTGCAATATGCTGATGTGGAATCTCAACCTGAGTGACATTCATGATAGAATAGGATCTCAAGACCGGATATGGCAGCAATATCCATTGCACGACCGAATGATACCTTTGTAAATGATAAATGTTGACCAGAAAAAAAAATGTCTTGCACGACACAGTGTACATAATTTCTTAGCAGAAGACCTAGCAATATAAACACTCCACTACATGTCAGGACTAAATGTGCCCAATAAAGCGTAAAGAGTTACCTCAGTTAACCATCGATTGGAGATCCTTTAGGATTATTATTATTATTATAAATAAATAAATAAAAATACACCTATCTTTGTTGCCATACTTATTACAACGTTTCGGACGTTGTACATTACGGCCTTCTTCAGGTGGGTGGAACGTCGAACTGAACCATTTATTTCGCTCGCTCGGGTAGACTGTTCTAGTTCCGCGTGCCATTTTTTTAAATATATGTCAGTTATCTCCTGTTAATTCCCCACTCCAATTTCTCTACTGCCTTAACCGGGTATTGAACTTACACTCTTTGGCTCTTGCCAATGGACCTAGCTAACGCCTTTATCCACTGTGCCATGTGTCCTTGAGGATATCTGTATATGAATTCCTGGGATTTATGAACCTAATGTTTTTAGCAACCGTTTTTTATTAGTGCTCATATTGCAGTGACAAGAATCAAAGAGTGTGAGTTCAATACCCGGTTAAGGCAGTGGAGAACTTGAAGAGGGGAATTAACAGGAGATAAGTGATAACTGAGATCCCTTAAAAAAAACCATGGCACGCGGAACTAAAACAGTCTACCCCAGTGAGTGAAACAAAGGGTTCAGTTCGACATTCCAACCACCTGAAGAAGGCTGTAGCGTACAGTGGCCGAAATCTTGTAATAAATATGGCGACCTAGATGAGGACAATAGTCCGAATAATGTCAATAGTGTACATAATACCTCATCTCATAAATATACACAAGTACGGAAATAAAATTAGAACATAAAATAATCACAATAATGAAAAATATAAATAAAACAAAATAAAACGATAACATAAAAATGAATCAAATTTAACAATAATAAAAAAGCTGTTCCTGCCGGAAAATATTCTTCCAGAGACACCGTGGTCCCTGATTTTGTGGAGAAGCCCAGCATGTCAAAACCTGTTCAACGCTTTAGAGTTATGTAGCTTGGCCGTTCTTATGGAAAGGTTGATAGACAAATTCAGTGATAGTCGTTAAAAAATAACGGTAGGCCTGAAGAACCGGAAGCCATATTGTTTATGCGAAAGAACGATGTGTGATTGGTTGGTTGAATTTGTTTAGCGGCATATTAACCTCTATAGGTTATTTAATGCCGAAATGTAAATATCCCTCGCATAATTTATGCTTTCAGCTACAGACAGCTTGAACATAATTTCCTTTCAGAGTAAAGGTATACTTTTTAGATATATAGCTTGTAAATTATAAAATGTATTGTTGTGTATTTTACTATAGAATATACTTTATATTTTTTATTGTTGCATTAATTTTCATTTTGCTATAAAAATGTATTAGTCATTTTATTATGAAAATATAGAAATTAAGTGGGGATTTGAATGATCATAATCAATTCATCGAATCTAGAAGAATCTTCAACAGAAGGCAGAAAGC